GCCTCAGGCAAGCTGTTAACAGATTGTATTTGTAACTAGACAGATAAGCACCACAGGAAAATATGGTAAAATGTATATTTCCAAACATCTGATTCTATTCAACTGATTATTTGATTTACAATCTTAATCATTACCGTACTTAATCATTATTTGTATACAACTCAAATGATAATCAAGATGACCTTTTTTATTTTTTTCATTTAATATTTTCCTAAGTCATACACATTTTATTTGGTTGTGTCCCACTGCAGCATCAAAAACCATAAATATAGCTGCAGTGGACTGATATAGCAGCTTGGTTGAAGTTTCAAAAACTTCAGGCTTTTTTTCACGTAGAAGACAAGAGCTCATAATCAATGGGTTCTCTTTTAAAACATACATTCTCTGTTCTTACACTCCCTATGCTCTATAACAGTTTTTTCTTAACTATGGGCCTAAGCAGAACAGGCGGCCGTGGGCTGCCCTGGGAAGCTGCGCCGCAGGACCGAGGCAACCCCACGCCTCGATCCTGCGGCGCAGCTTCGCCGCCCTTGAAAGGAGCGCTAAATTAGCGCTCCTTTCACAAGTCAGCGAAAGTGCACCGCAAAAGGGTGCGACGCACTTTCATTGACTTTTCCGCCGCAGCACGTGGAAAGGCTGCGGCGGGAGGTCCTCTTTGGAGCGCCGGCCGTGCGGAGGGCCGCTGCTCCGACGACGACCTCGGGAGGGGGTTGGGGCGCCAAGCGTGCGGCTGCCCCTCCCCTTCCCTGCGCCGAAGACGGCCTTTTAAGCCGTCTACTTAGGCCCTATAATACTGAAAGTGTCAAAGCATTCATTAAACATTTAATGGGATTTGAGCATGCATGGATTTTAGTATCCAAGGGGTGGGGAGGGGAGGCTGGAACCAAACACCAGTGGATACCAAGGGCCCACTGTACTAAGAAAAGATAATTCAGCTTTAGATGTTTTAATATTTTACAGCAGGGCAAACAAGCTGATCTAAAAACAATTGTCACCTCTTTTTCCCTCATGTTACCTTTTTGTATACAGCTCAAATAATTTGTGGGTACCATGACATTCATAACTGCATGCTAAACAGATCCCTGCTGGTTCTTCGCCTGGTGGTGTACATGTGCTGCAGGCATAAAGGGCTTGTCTCTTCACAGCACCCTGGAATGAGAACAGCATAAAAATGGCAACACTGAAAAAACCGCCAGACTGAGAAATCACCATCCTCCGAGGAGGATCTTTCAATGCTAAACCAGAGTCTGGTGCCTGTAACGAATGACATAAAGCAAACAAACTGTGGCTTATCTGAAACAATACAGAACCTGGAAGCCTGATGGGCAGGAGTTATGTTCCTACAGTTAAAGCTAGTAGACCAGCAGTGCTTGTGCATGGAGATGTTAGATCTGGTCACATATAATATAATATACTTGATTATATCCAATTTAGTTTACTGTAAGATGCTCTATGTGGAGCTGTCTTTGAAAACCACTTACAAACTTCATCTGAACTGAAGGGCTGTAACCAGATTGTTAACTGGGACTGGCCACAATGAGCATCTAATACTCATTTTGCAAGAGTTCCACTGGCTGCCCATCTGTTTCACCGCACAACTCAAAATGCTGGTTATGACCTATAAAACCCTATACCACTCAGGTCCAGGCTATCCAAAGGAGAGTATATCTTCCTTTATGAACTTGTCTGGGCTCTCTTTGGAAGGTGTCTTTCTCTTGGTCCCACCATCTTCCTAAGCATATTTGGTAGGAACAAAGAAAACCTTCTTGGAGCATGCTCCTAAGCTTTAGATCTCCTCCCTTAGGGAAGCTAGGATGGCTCCCTCCTTGTCGTCCTTTCACCCATAAGTAAAACATTTTCATTCAGCAGACTTTTACTAATGGAGTGTAATAGATTTTTAATGTTGTTTTGCTGATATTTATCTTCTGACTTTTAATTTATTATAATTATGTAAATTGTTTTATTGCATTTTAAAATAGCTTATATATGTTTTATTGATGCCTTTGAATGTGCTTTCCTCTGCATTTGTTTTAATTTTTGTTTCAGCAGGAAATGGGTGGATATAAATAAATAGCTGAAGCTTATTGTGTGTATTACAGAAATGGGAATGCTCCATGATGTTATATCAGTAAAATACACCACCACCAATCCCTAGTTAATCTTAAATTCTGATTATCTAAACTTGAGTAATAGAAGTTGAGTATCCCTTGTCTGGAATTCCAAAATCCAGAGTACTCCAAAATTCAAAACGTTTTGAACTGCATAGCTAGAAAGAGACAAAGGATCTATGAAATGGTGGGAATCCATGTATCCTGTCAAGTCACAGATCCTCAGTCTCTCTCCAGCCTCATTATGTATTTGCAAATACAAGTATTTCAAAATGCAAAAACAAACAAACACCAAACAAACAAATCAAAATATGGAACAATACTGGTCAGATGCATTTTGGATCAGGGATATTCAACTTGTACTAGATTACCAGCTAGAAAAACCAATGCAGTTAATAGCAAGAGAACAATGTTATGTTCTTCCTTGAATAACTGGAAAGAAACTGAAGGAGGTTGTTCTCAACCACTACTATTACAGCTTTACAAAATGCTACCTATGACATATGCATCTTGATCATCTGAACTATCTTCTTCTACTGAGGGTGATGTACCAAAGAGTTACTGTAATTTCAGTATGTTTCTATTACCATTTATGTATGAAGAGCCTTGGTTTAAACCAGCACAAATTTATACACCTTAAGACACAAAAGCAAGACTCCTCCTTCTTGCTTTTGACACTAGCTGCAATGCAAAATCCCCTCAGTGTAGCATAAATATCCACATGCAACATTTGTTACATCAACATCATCCAACCCCCCAAGCAGAAGAGCAACACTGCACAAGGCATGTCAATGACTGAGTGCAGCTGTGCAATGCGCAACCACAAAGCACATCACTGTATACATAACTCCACCTCTGTCACTGTCAGCAAGGCACTTTTGTTGTGCTATGATGAATAATTTGTCCCACAGACACAGTACAACTAATATATGTATATGTCACTAACAAAATGCCAGCCATTATAGGATGGGAACAGTTGACAGCAAGGCTGACTATTCTCTAGAGCAAAATGCATACTTGTAAATACAAACAGAGAAGCCTGGTAATGTCAACTTGCAGCAGACTATCAGAGAATGTATCAAATATAAGAATCACTTAGAAATGCACCTTGAGCAGTGAGAATAGAGTAACTCAAAACTCGGAAGACAAGACTAGTGATAAGAGGCATTAACCCTTCATTAGTTTGCTGTATTCCAATGGCCACCTAGATGAAACCAGTGCATTCCAACTGCAATATGTTTTAGTACTGCACTCTATACAGCCTAACACATGGTTGACAGAAGAAAACTAAAAACCAAGAAAAATGCCAAGATACCTTTACTCCCTTTGCAGACTGCCCGAAATAGTGCAAATTGAGTCCACTTTAACTGTCCTGGCTGTGCCAGGGAATTATGGGAACTGTATTTTTTCCTGAGACATTGAGCCTTTTCTCTCAGAGAGCTCTGGTGCCACAATACACTACAGTTCCCATGATTCCCTAGCACTGAGTCAGGGCAGTTAAAGTGGCCTCCGTTTGCACTATTTCTGGCAGTCTGCAAAGGCAATTAGTTGATTTTTGCCATTCTCAATAGGGAAATTGGGAAGCTTGTTTTGGAAAGCACTTGGCAACACTATTATCTAATTGTTTCTTACTTTTTATATTATTGCTGTGCCTATGGTGGTTGGACATGTTTTTTATGCATACCTTGTTTTACTAAAGTCCATACCTACATTACTGACAAAGCAGCTGACAAGTAAAACAATTAAGATTATGACTGCAACTTATCAGCTAAAACAAATAGCAGCTCACCCTAGTCCAATCATTCCTCTCTCTACCTTCAGCAGTAAAGGACCTCTTCCCTCCAAGTCCCCAGAAACTGCAGGAAAAGCATGGGGAACCTATGGTTCCATCCTCTCTTACAACTGGAAAACTGGCTAAAGCTGATGGGAGCTGCAGTGCAGTCAAACAATAGCTAGACTACCATTCACATAAAAGATGGCTGCAACAGCTACAGCGTTGGACTAGGACATGAGGCTGGTTAAAGGCACCATTTGGCCCCAAATTCACTGGGTGACTCTGGTTAGTCTTTCTTCAACCCAGCTCAAAGAATACAAAGGAATATTGTGCCACCTGTAAGATTAACTAGAAGAAAGAAGTTTATAGTGTAAGCTTTCACAGATTCAGGCTGCATCTGCAGTGCAGAAAGAATGCAGTTTGCCAGTACTTTAACTGCCATGGCTCCATGCTATGGAATCCTTGGATTTGTAGTTTGTGGTGACACCAGCACTTCCGGATAAGAGAAGGCTAAACATCTCACAAAACTACAATTGCAGAATGCCACAGCATTGAACAGGGGTAGTTAAAGCAGTGTCAAAGAGCATTATTTCTGCAGTACAGATGTAGCCCCAGTATTCCTATGAAACAGACTATGCAATAGACTGAATCTACAAAAGCTTATGCTATTTCTTTCTCCCATTCTGTCCCCAGTGATATAAGGTTAACCTTGTGTGCTGATACAAACTAACAGGGCTATGTCTTTGAATCCTATCTCACAGGGTGGCTGTAAGGATAAACATAAAGGAGGACCCCCTCCTCCGAATTTCTCAGGGGAAGAAAGGGGAAGGCTGGCTACATCTGTAATCACCTTAAAAACACACACACACCTCCCTCATGAGAAGATATGGAGCATGTCCCTCCCTCATAAAGTTAACAGAGTAAAGACAGAAGAGGGCTCCTCTAACTTCAATGGCTGTGTAGAAGAGGGACAGCAGTGGCTTGAACACCGGAGTTGTTTTTATGAGCCTTCAAGTTGTTTCCGACTATCCCGGGAGTTTCTTAGCAAGGTTTGCCATTACCTCCTTCTAAAGCTGAGAGAGTGTGACTTGCCTTGGGTCACCCAGTGGGTTTCATGGCTGAACCGGGAATCGAACCCTGGTCTCCAGAGTCATAGTCCAACGTTCAAAACCACTACGCCACGTTCAAGTCCCTGCTCAGCCATGGAAACCCACTGGGTGACTTGGCTCAAAGTCACACTCTCTCAAGCGAAAAGCTAGTCTGGGAGGGTTGAGTGGTGAATGGTCTCTCAGCTTCAGAGCAACTCCCACCCTGAACGAATCTTGCCACGAAAAACCCGCAACACGGTCACTTTGGGATAGCCATAAAAGTGGGAAGAGACCTTCAGAGCCAGCGTGGCGCAGAGGTTTGCGCGTTGGACTAGGACACTGAGAGACCAGGGTTCGAATCTCTGTTCAGGAGCGATAACCCACCGGGTGACCTTGGGCAAGTCACACTCTCTCAGCCTCAGAGGGCGTCAATGGCAAACCTCCTCTGAAAAAACGACAGGGTCGCAGCAGCAGCAACAACGCGGAACCACATCCCCCTGCAGCTCCCACTGGGCCAGGAAGAAGCTTCCCGTTCTCCCCCGCCTCACCTGGGCGTAACTGCAGCGCTCGTGGTCGCTGCCGCCCAGCACGGCCCGCGCCTCCTTCTCGAGCTCCTCGCTCTCGGCCAGCACCTCGGCCAGCGACACCACCGGCTCCTCGGCGCCCCTCTCCCCTTCCTCGCTGCCGGCGTCCTCGCTGCGGTTGTTGTCAGCGGGCTGCTCGCCGCCCTCACTCTCGTTCTCCTTGTCGCCGCCGGCCGTTCTCTCTGCCTCCTTCTCCATCTCCCTCACAGGAACCGTTTCCCTGCGACGAAAAAGAGGCGGGGAAGAAAAAGGCGGGAAAACAATATCCCCTCAACGGTCGCTGCCGCCAGGGAGCGCACCGGAAGCGGAAACAGGATAGGAACAAACGCCCAGGCGCTGAAGATAAAGAGGAGGCCGGCGGGGCACGTGATCGGAATCACGTGACCCCCCCAGGAGCCTATCAGGATCACGTGGGTCCCCGGCGACCAATCACAGCGGGAATGAGGAGGCGGGAGGAGTAACAAACAATGCGGAAAAAGGAGGCCTAACTAGTCCAGGCACTCTAACGGAGGAAAAGTGGGCGTGGCTCTACGACGTCACGAGTATGAGTGGAGCCCGCGGAGCTCATGGGATCACGTGGGTGTGAAATAGCCAATCAAAGCTGGAAAGCGCCCTGTAGAGAGGCGAAGGCGGAGAAAAGTATGTGATATAGGAAGCTTCCCTACATTGAGCTCTTGGCGCTAAAGTGGGCGTGGCTCTGTGACGCCACTAGCGTGGGTGGAGCCCGCGGGCGTCAATTACGATCACGTGAGGCTGGGGCAGCCAATCACACAGGCAAGGAGCCGAAAAGGCAGGAGGAGGAGGAAGAGGCGGAGAAAAACTGCGTTATGGGAGGGCTATCTACAATGAACTCTTACAGCTGTAGGAAAGTGGACGTGGCTCTGTGACGTGACTCTGTGACCCGAGGAGCCCATCGTGATCACGTGGGTCCGCGGGAGCCAATCACAGCGGTAAAGAACCGAGTGGTGCGGAAGAGGCGGAGAAAAACAATGCGTCGAAAGAGGCCTACCTTCTCTTGTGGTTGAGGGGAAATGGGCGTGGCTGTACAACGTCACCGGCGCGAGTGGGTGGGGCCAAGAGGATAGTTTTGGTGACTGGCAGGCCTTCCTGTCAGCTCTTCTTCCGGTTTGAGGAGGAAAAGGAAAGGGAAAAGGGGAGGAGCTTAGCGGATGGGCTCCTTGCTTCCGGCGGAAGGGCGCGATGGAGCTTCGGGCGGAGCTGAGGGACCGCCGAGGGGAGAGGCGGCCTTTGCGGGTGCCCTGTGAGCCTCCGGGGGAGCTGCGGGGCCTCCTGGGCGGCCTGGCTCTCCTGCGGGAGCGAGTCAGCGCCCTTCTGGACCCGCTGGTGGAGCAGGAGAGGGGCGCCGGAGACCCCGCCGGGGCTGCAGGTGAGCGTCCGCACTGCGCCGCGGGACAGAGGCACTTCGGCGCCGGTTTGACTGCGATGGGACTCTGGGATTTGTAGTTTTGTCAGAGAATTATCCTTCTCTGTCTCTGGTGCCTCGTTGCTCGTGTTGTTATTATATCTTCAAGTCGTTTCAGACTTACGGCGACCCTCAGGCGACCCTATCCTGGGGTTTTCTTGGCAAGATTTGTTTAGAGGAGGCTTGCCAGGGCCTTCCCCATCCCCTGAGGCTGAGAGAGTGTGACTCGTCCAAGGCGCATCTTTTTCTTGTTGTGTGCCTTGAAGTCGTTTTTTACCTCAGGCAACCATAAAGCCTATCCTGGGGTTTCCTTTGCAAGATTTGTTCAGAGATGATTTGTCGTTGCCATTCTCTGAGGTTGAGAGAGTGTACCTCGCCCAAGGTCACTCAGATTTCCATGAACCAGCCAGGATTCGAACTCTCAACACTCAAACCATTACTTCACAACATACTACAAATCCCAGATTTCATAGGACGGAGCCATAGCAGAGGAATAGTACTACGTACACATACCATGCTAAAAAGGCAAATCAGTGACTCTCAGGCTGCTGCCACACAGCAAAACTAATGTGCTTAACACCACTTTAACTGCCATGGCTCCATCCTGTGATTTGTAGTTCCGGAACTCTCTGACAGAGAAGGCTGAAGGTATAACAAAACTACAAACCCCAGAGTTGCATAGCACTGAGCCAAGCTGTGTCAAACTGGATTATCTCTGCACTGTGTATGCAGCCCTAGGCCATGCTTTGGAAAAAGGATGGGCTTTTTAAACTGCAGTTCCCAGAATCCCCCAGACAGCAGACTCAGTGGCCATAGTGGCTGGGAGAGTGGGCTGGCTGTAGTTTAAAAAATAGCTTTTTGAAGCTTTGCTCAAAGTCTTGCCTTCTTTTCTAGACTGATTCTTGGGGGGGGGGGGGAAGCCTTCTCTGGTCTCCTACCTTTTTGTTATTGTATTCACAAGTGTTTATGAACTGGTTACATTTAAAGATTTCAAAGTGATGTGCCACGATGAAATAGTATAAAACGATAAATAAAGTCCCTTTATCGTACGTACATCATCTATAAACAGTATAAAACAATAAATAAAGTCCCTTTATCGTACATACATCATCTATAAACAGTATAAAACAATAAATAAAGTCCCTTTATCGTACATACATCATCTATAAACAGTATAGAACAATAAATAAAGTCCCTTTATCGTACGTACATCATCTATAAACAGAAAATACATGGTGGGTTTAATTATACCAGAAAGTCTTGTCCATGTAAGTATGCCTTTAACAGATACTTGACACCATTAATTATTTTGTTAGAGGTATTTTGTTGTTGCATACAGAGGGTTGTATTTCACCAACTCTTTCTCCATGACTATAGTTCAAAACACACTGCAGAAATAATCCAGTTTGAGACTGCTTTAACTGCCCTGGCTTAGTAGTGCGATAATCTCTAATGCTAGGGAATCCTGGGAACTAGTTTATTGAGGCACCAGAGTTCTCTGACAGAGAAGGCTAAATGTCTCACAAAACGACAGTCCCCAGAATTCCCTAGCACTGAGCCAGGACTGTTAAAGAGGTCTTAAACTAGATTATTTCTACAGTATGTTTTGGACCTCTGTATATTTTCTTAACTTGGTTGCATTTTACAGAGGTTTTCCATATATCATTGATTTCCTATGATCTATATATCATTGCTATATTTGGATGCTTTTATTTCACCCACATTAAGGGGTTAGGTGAAGAATAACTGCACCAAACAACAAAAGCATACACAGTGTAAATGGTAAATAAGCATATCAAGTAGAATAAATGCTCTGAAATAGGCATTCATGGAAAAACATAAATTCAGCTAATGTTATTAACTTTTTAAAATAAGGTGATGAAGAAAATGAAGATGAAGAGGATGAAGATGAGGAAGAAAATCACGTGAATACCAGAGCATGTCCAGATGGACCACCATTAAAACGTACAAAAATGCACTTCTGAAAAAAGCTAAATATATTTTAAAAGTATTTTAATTTTATCATATGGACACTATTTCTTCCAACAATACTGGCCTATTTTGATAACTAGAAACATGCCATGCTTGTCATTGTTTATTGTTACTTAATAACGCGAGGGAATATGGTAATTCATTTGTGAATGTTGTCTGGCATTTCTAAACAAGCAAATAAAATGCAGTTTTTTTAAAAAATGAGCTGTTTCTTAATGTCTTGTTGATTACAATGTTTCTAAATACAAGAAATATTTATCCACAAAACATTCCCAGATTGATAGAAGGACTCTCCATTGTCCCATAACTGTGGTTGCTTTACTCATCCCACAATGCCTCGTTTTAATGAGGGTTAATTTTAGACGGATTTTAGTAAATTTGTTTTATGAAGCTTTCTGTTTGAATCGGGGGTTAGGAAATTATGTTTAATGTCATTGTGATATTTTATATCTGCCTTGATCCTTAAGGGAAGGCGAGCAATAAATAAATAAATTATTATTGTTGTTGTTGTTATATTATTATTATTATTATTATTATTATTATTATTATTATTATTATTATTATTATTATTATTTGCACCGTGGCAATTTTGACAAGCAGCTAATATTCTTCCCAACTTTAGAGCTGGAGAGGTGGGTAGGGATCACCCAAGTAATATATATTGATGCCTGCTGGTTGTTTTGTTTTGTATTTGGTCTTACAGGGCCAAACATATGCATCCGCACTCCTGACCTTTGCTGCTTTGAAACAATAAATGCTCCCCACTTTATCTTTTCTATGAGGAAATATCAGATTCAGTTAGGGATCATTGGATTCTGGTGCTTACAAGCATATCTTCAGACTTGACACAGCAGAGCCCAGTACATGTTCCCTCCCCACATGTCATTTCCAAAGGGAAAAGCTGATCTGGAAGGGTTGAGTGGTAGTTTTAGCTGGGACAGGAAGATTTATTTATGTAGATTTATACTCCACTCTTTAGCCACAAAGTCTCTCAGAGCGTCTTACAAATTTACAATCTAAAAAGACATGGCACAAAGGGAAAAGGGAATGGCAATAGGGAAGGGGATCAAGTCCAGCAGAGACTGCTGGTTCTTTCTCCACAGCTAGGGCAATGGCAATTGGAATGGATGGAGGGCTTTTCATCTGTTTTGGGAGTTAGGGCCTGGTGGAGCTGTTCATGCCTCTCATTCTGTCCCTCCAAAGCCAGGATGGAGGGTGAGCCTTTCATCTTTCTCTGGGGTAGGAAATGATAAACTCTTGCAGGTAGCACTAAGCCAGCATGATGTAGCAGTTTAAACTTTGGACTATGACTGGAGTAAAGGTAAAAGTATTCCCTGTTGTCAAGTCATGTCCAACCACAGGGACAGTGCTCAT